GCTCATGTGGGACACTGTCAAATGCCTTGGTTGTAGACTTCTCCCTAATATGATGGACTACATCGGGCTTACAACTACGACATTAAGCCGACATCTCACGTGCCACCTTCAGTCTGGTGGGCCAAGGAACCACCTGATAGAAGCCCACAACGAGACCATCACCCGTACGGTGCTGGAGGAGTGCACCAGCGTCGTCATGCGATGCACTGACGCCAACCAACTCGCTATATAGCTGAGGCCCCCATCATTAAAGATAGGACCCCAGCCATCAACCTTCAAAATACTGGATTTATCTGATTTCGGAGTTATTTTTGGTGTTTTAATTTTTATTCATCTTAATAGTTTCGTGACTGGGCATTATTTCTAACCAATTCTGTTTTTTTGAGTAGTATCCTATGTACATGATTTTGTACTTGTGTCGACCCAAATTTCGTAGCTCAATGCAATTTTTAACTTGATAATGAATGATTGAAACATTCGAAACGTTGTTATCGAAATAAAAATGTCCATCGGTACCCTGATTTTCGATTTAACTGCGCAAACGAAAAATATTGTTCGATATGTTGAAAAAACCAACAAGAAAATCTTCAATAAAACAAATTCTCTGGTCTTTAATGAAACCTGCCAAAAGGAATAATTTCTTTTATATATAGATAAATACGATGCAAAGTTAATGGTCAGTTATGAATATCAGAAAAATTATTTAAAACGGTTTCACAACTTGGAGGACCAGCCCCTAAACGAGTAAGCAAGAGGCATTTGTGATTTTAATGCTCAACGTTTGCTGAGGTTATATTGATCAGTCACTGGCAGAACAATGCGACACTTTTGCGGCGACCCTACGCTTCTGTTGGTTTGAACCATGGTTGAACTAATATAAGGTTGATCCACGGAGATGACGATTTTTTGCCGTTCTGCGCATTTCAAGAGTGACGTCACTGTGGGCACAAAATGTAAATAGTGTAGATCAATACACTGTTTGTATGTCATCTCTGAAGGCATTTTAAAAAATTAACGCCATCAAAATGGCCCAAAAAAATATTTACTGCATGCAACTAGTCTTAATGACAGCAAAACCAGTGTTACAAATCAGTTTGACGTCACTCGGTGACGTCACAAGAGCCAAGGTGACGAACAGTTGGAATAAAATATACGTTTAAATAATATGCGTTTAAAAATTACTTTTCAAAGACAACACTTCTGAACAATCCAGTGTCTTAGATGTTACACATGTACAATGAATTTCTAATTTTATTTTAAAATATTATAAAAAATTATTTTTCAATATTATTTTAGGGTATAAAAATTTTGTGAATTTTCAAAATTAATTCTGTCAATTGATTCATGCATTTTCTCTGACTTTATGCAATTGTGTAAAATTTCAGATCAATTGGACAGGTCAAATTGTGTCATATATGGATTATAAGATTTGTAGCAGACGAAATTATTTTTTAATTTTTTTTATTATTGAAATTTTTTATAAAATTATCTATTTTGTCAATTGATTAATGTACTGTCTCCAACTTTACGCAAGTGTGCCAAATTTCAGATCGATTGGACGGGTAGAAGTGTGTTAAATGTCGATTATAAAATTTGTAGCAGACAGACAGACTGACAGACAAGCAAATAAACAGGAAGTGAAGTTAAAGAGAAGTGTTGTAAAATTACTTTTTAGAGACAACACTTCTAAAAAATCCAGTGTCTCCAACGTAAAATATGTACAATGAATTTCTAATTTTAATTTATAATATTAAAAAATTAATTTTTAAATCATTTTAATATATAAAAGAAATTAAATTTATTTATTCTGTCAATTGATTCATGCATTGTATCCTACTGTACGCAAGTGTGCAAAATTTCAGATCGATTGGAGAGGTAGAAGTGTGTTAAAAATCGATTATAAGATTTGTAGCAGACAAAATTATGTTTCAAATTTTTAAATATTGAAAAAAAATTCTAATTTTTAAAATTATTTATTCTGTCAATTGATTCATGCATTGTCTCCAACTTTACGTAAGTGTGCAAAATTTTAGATCAATTGGAGAGGTGGAAGTGTGTTGAAAACCGATTATATGATTTGTAGCAGACAGACAGACAGACAAACAAATAAAAAGTGAAGTTAAAGAGAAGTGTTGTAAAAAATGACATCCGCAAGGCGCAGCTGCACTGGGGAAAACCCTGTATTAGTTCAACTTTGAAAAAAATTACCTCATCAAAATGACCCAAAAGAATTTATGTACTGCGACTAATCTTATTTATTATATTAAAAATTTAGGCTTTTAGCTAAGACTTGAGTACGAAAGTTTTGATAAAGCCAAAATTAGGGTGTATTTACGTACCACAGAACATTTTTGTCGTAAGAACAAAAAGTTACGAAGTTTTGATAATCCGGCCCCTGTTTGATATGGACAGGAGCAATGGGGTATACCGTAGCGGTCCTCGCCCAAGACTGAAGTTAATCGCTTGAGACAGAGCTTTTATAGCTTCGCTATCCGACGTCACCAAGGGCGTGACTTAATAAACAGGGAAGGTAACCACAAGGAAATGTTTATGAACATATCGAAGTGAAGGAGATTATCTTTCAACAAGGAAGATATTAATGAGGAAATATCCAGGGACAAATGGTATAAATATTGTTACCTTACACAACACCCAGAACTCTAACGGCCAGTCCAGAATCTTCATTATCCTATTCACAATTTTGTTGCTTAACTTATCTGCCTACCTATAAAATTCTTCAAGCATTCTGATCCTAGCAAATCTGAATACCTTTTCAACCTCACCAGAAGATACATTCCAATGCCTTGTTAATAATACACTCAACTGACTCAAGAAACACCATCTCATCACCCTTCTCAAGTGCCCTGCCTAGAAAAGATAAGCAAGTGGAACTTCAACTCTCAAGAGTCAAGACCAGACTGGAAAGGAAGGCACAACAAACATCAGCACGTGTAACTTCATACTTTCAATATCAGCAGCCTGAACTTAAGCAGTGAGTGAGTGAAATTTAAGCAAAATTTTCAGTGAAACCAGTGTAGAAATTTTTTTTGTGTATTGAGACCAGTATTGCCACCTTTTCAGTGTAAACTGTGTATCAATATTGATAGTCTCGCAGCATTGCTAAACTCTAAAATTTAAGTAACAAAATTTTGTGAAAACTTGCTGCTAATCTTGAAAAATTGCCACGAGTGTAAGCTGCCAATCTGTAAAAATTGCCTCTGAAAAGTTGATAATCTACAAATTTGCTCTGAAATGAGAAATTGGTTATAAACTGTGAGAAAGTGACTGAATTTTTTTTAAATGGCGTCATTTATTACAATTGCATGTCGAGTGAAACTGAAAATGCTTCTCAAGTTCTATCTATGGACCATCCAACCGCCTAAAATCTGTATCACTTTCCCACTAGAATATGAATTATGATTTAAACTACGTGGCATATGCTGTATTATCGCTTCTCAAAGTTGCCACATATCAGCAAAGCCCAAAATGTGTATTTCGTGATGACCATGATGTACTATTGTGCTCTTATTATCATTATATTTGTTACTTAGCAATTCTCATTGCATTTGTGATAATGCATGAAGCTAAAAGCTTCCGGTTAGTCATTGCTCCCATGAAATTGCTACCAAACGCGTCCCAACCGATGAATCTCCTGATAGATCACGAAAGCGCTCAACTACATAAAGAGAAAAACATGATTTTTGTACGGCTAGATTTTACTACCCACTATCAATTAGTGCAGACGATTATCCTGCCTGCAACTATTTTGTCCTTTCTGCCTTAATTTACTCCGTTGACTGAAATTTGCAATCAGGCATCCCATACCTTATTTAACGCCATACTATGCCTGTTGCAACTTTACGTCCTACCTTAAAAACCTAACTTGAACAGGTTGAGAGAGAACCCTTCTAATGAAGCAAGCTCTGCTTAACCATGTTCCGTTGTACTCATCTCTCGGTTGTACCCGTCTCTCGGTTGTACCCATCTCTCGGTTGTGCCCATAACTCGGTTGTACCCATAACTCGGTTGTACCCATAACTCGGTTGTACCCATAACTCGGTTGTACCCATCACTCGGTTATACCCATAACTCGGTTGTACCCATAACTCGGTTGAACCCATAACTCGGTTGTACCCATAACTCGGTTGTACCCATAACTCGGTTGTACCCATAACTCGGTTGTACCCATAACTCGGTTGTACCCATAACTCGGTTGTACCCATAACTCGGTTGTACCCATCCCTCGGTTGTACCCATAACTCGGTTGTACCCATAACTCGGTTGTACCCATCCCTCGGTTGTACTGTATGTTATCGATGCTGCCTCATCTCAAACACGATTCTCTATTAATTACCTCATATGCGTTTCCAAAAGAATAATGCCTATGCATTCGTATTTAAAGCTAACTGATGTTTAACGCCATACACAATGTATGCCTAGAAATGTCTAATAGCTGCCTTACCCACAAACTGAAACTCGACAGCTACGAATTCATGATTTCGTGTCCTATGTGTCCAATGTACTATGTCTGAACGGCAACGATTTTGCTAACAATGATCTCGACTTTATGCCATTGATGCCAACTCTCTGTCCTAGATGTATTGCTACAGCACAGGCTACAATGAGTCTCTGCTAATTCAGTACCAGGATGAACGGTATCTGTTTGGTCGATTTGAATTATTTTTGATTGTCATTGTATCTCGATATTTTCTTGGGGAACTCCGTTCTCGCCGGGGAAGTCATGTAGTGACTCGATCACATCTCGCACTAGCATTTCTCTCGAATGTCATAATTAATTGTATTAAACCTTTAAACTCGTGATTATCGACCTCTGTAACAATATCTTACTTAATGATCTTGATCTCGATTATGTATTTCGGATTTCATCAATTTCATTTCAAACAATTGTAAAAGTGTACAGTTAGTTAATCATCAATTTTGAGCAAGAATAACACTCGTGTAATTACTAAATGATGAAGTTTAGTAAATGTCAAAATTGTTTTATGTTAAATCATACCATAAAAAATATTGTGAAATTTCTTAAGAACGACAGCGGAGAACCATTTGCCAAGCGCGCACTAGCTATATAGTCATTTTCCTGAACGACGCGTGGGGTGAACATCTAAATCTAAGGGGGTAAGACGCTAAGTTCTTCACTACAATTCAATTATTTTCATGCCATAAAGGCATAAACTTTTCAATTTACTGTAACTGTCATAATCGAATCATTTGTATTTTATGTATTTTTATATTATTTCATTGTGTTCTGGTCATGTAGATTGTAACGGCCCACACTGATACAGGTGTTGGTCGGTCGGCGTCTTCGTTCTTCAACACCAATAAACTATCTGAGCCTCATCGTCTTTACTACAACCCCACTAGACGTGACCATTAAATCATTAGAGAAGAGGGAAGGTTGCTGTAGAAAAAATCTTAGTCAAAACCTAACCGCCACCCAAACCATCCCCTTCTTCACATTTGCAGCACAACACGCAGATGTGCTACGTTCATTTGCAGCACAACACGCAGATGTGCTGGGTTCATTTGCAACACAACACGCAGATGTGCTGCGTTCATTTGCAACTCAAAAGGCAGATGTGAGGCGGTAGATTTGCCGCAACTGAATAGCTTGAAATGGTTTTCAATGTAATCTTCAACACTAGGCGGTTTTTCACGCCACTAGGTAGTATGATACAGACAGTGGTGCCGTATTTATTGTGCACAATAAACAGCACTGCAAGGCTGATAGATTATAGACTGATATTGTTACATAAACATGAAGATATATAGTAATAAATATATATTTATATAAAGTTAGCGATTTTCTCTGCATCTTCTAAATGAAAAATCCCGACGCCAATAGAATATTCTGCTTGTCGCGGATGGGCCACCAAGTATCGGCGGCAAAAAGCCGGAATAGTTGAGAACTGTGCTTCTGAACCGCGAGGTTTGGGAATCCCGAAGAGGCATCCAAGTCATCAGGGCCACCAGAGAGTTTGGAGACTCCTGATTAAATAGGGGGAAAAATATAAAGAAAAGAGAGACGTTACTTATCGTCTCATACATTTTAAAGTTGGAGAATCGGAGTGATTACTCCACCAATTTTACGTTACGATCAGGTTCAGATTCAAGATACCGGTATTCATCTACTTATCGTTTTGTCAGGTGGTTGCCGCCGAGTGGCGCTTGATTGGCACGTATGAAAAGGTTCTCTTTTTGAATAGGTTACGGCAAAATATAGCACAGAGAGAGGGTTGTAATGAAACACTGATACATTTTACATTAAATTGGAAAATTCAAGTTCACATCCTACGTTAACAAAAATCTCTAGTACTTGAAAAATGTAATCCGAACACAATCAAAAGTCCAAAATCTATCAGTTAAATCATCATCAAAAATCTATTTACCAGAACATTGATAAATTGCAGTTCTGTTGAGCCGTACGTCCGTTGTAAACGACCGTATTGTACACGCACACTTTGCGGCCGTAGGTTGAGCGACCGTACCGCGGCTGTCACCGCGCGTTGCAGCCGTATTCCAAGTGGCCGTACTGCAGCTGTAGCCGCGCGTCTCTCTTCACAGTTGCTTTCTTCATAACTGTCGTATCTCGTTGATATAGATGCCTCACGGCCAGTCTGGCCGTAGGTTGTTTTATATCGACCGTACTTCGGAATAGTGGTGCTCGTCTTCATAGTCGATGACAATACTCCAATTCCGTGGTCGTACTGCAGTCGAGATGACTGTGACCGTACCGCTTCTACTGATGAAAATAGTGACCGTACCGATGATGATTCATGTCGTCTCACGGCTGAGTCGCAGCCGTAGTGTTGATGTTGATTTTCTTAACGTGCTCACCGGACTCTTGGCTGCTTCGATAACTGGGTTTCTGGCGACCGTCAACCGTCAATGTTCGAAAACGGTAACACCACCGGCCTCACGGCCGCAGCCGTTACGTCCGCTAACTGCAGACCGTACGTGCGCGACGGTCACCTGAAAACCAACAACCCTTGGCGCGAATTTTTAAGGTCCTTATATACGCTAGAGTCGCGCACTGTTAAGCCTAACCCTTGAACTGACGCCACATTCCTTCGAATGGAATTTCCCTCGCCAACGTTCAATACTTCCCACGGTCTCGAAACAACCTTACACACTTGCTATATAGCTTCGACCCGCATTCTTAACATCTACCCATAGTACATGTTCAATATTACCCATGTTCAATATTACCTACTTTATTCACTCCAAGGAGGCGTCACAGCGGTCACGACTACTCATTCGTGGATTTAGGCTGGTTGCGTCTAAATGCTCAACATGGTCTGTCTCAACATGGTCTGAATCCTTGTCGGATTGGTTCCTTGTGATTGTGGGAGGGTTCTGTCTTATGTGCCTTGTATAGTAGATAGGTTATATAGGTTTTGTTTTCTATTTATGTTTTATTTAGTTTAAATGGGTTTCATAACCGCGTAAGGGTGGGAACTAGTGTTAATAAAAGTTAACGAAACAGATTTCAGAAATTACTTTTCTTACGTTACCTAATTTCTTAACAGTTCCTCCATATCTAGCCTGAAGTAAACGGCGATAGCCTATATATATGAGCGGCTGCTGCTTAAAATGAAGTCTTTTGGAATAGAGGGAAACGTATTGCGATGGATCAGAGATTTTCTATTAGGTAGACGACAACGTGCCAGTATTAACGGAACCGTGTCAGACTGGGCATCAGTGCGCAGTGGCGTTTTACAAGGAAGCGTACATGGGCCTGTTTTGTTCGTTGCTTTTATGAATGATCTGAAAGAAGTAATGTTAAAGTGTGCTCCACATATGCCAACGACACAAAAGTTTATATTTTTGTGATGGATGCATCAAATAAAGCGCAATTGCAAGATGATCTTGACAGTTCACATCAGTTGAGTTCTTCTGGCCGTGATCGAAGACGCACGTATGTGTTTGCGGGTCAAAATTTTCTCGCTTTTTACTATGCTGGTTTGACTTATCTCTCTAAATTGTACCGAAACGATTTCAGTGAAAGGTTCAATTTAAATGCAGTTCAGTAAAAATGGTGCGAATATTGAGAAAAAAGAGGCTAGTACAAGTGTTGTATTCCCGACAAATGCCAGTGCATTAGCGAGGGCAAGCTGTAAGCTTGTTGGGAACCCTCGGCAACCACCTATCAACCGGAGAGCAACGGCGCCTTCAGCACGCTAAGGCCTTGTCTTCCTATACCCTCCCCACCCTCTTGGCCCCTATCCCTCCCCCCTCTCAACCCGCCTTACGCGTCGATCCCTTGATTCCCCCAGTACACACACCCCTGTATTTCCCTCGCCAGCTGCAGCTCAGCTGTTTAGTCCAGACGGTCACCTGTGAACGATGCGAAGATCTCATTTGTATCAGCTATTCGAAATTGAGCTCTAAGGATTACTCATTTCTCCAGAAATCTAAATTGCTTCATTGGTTTTGCCGTGATTGCGAAAAACCAACTCTTGGTGTTCGAAAAAAGAGAGGAGTCGGTGGAAGAGCACGGCAATGAGTCGAAATTGTTGAAGTATGTAGTAAACTCCTTGAGTGAGATGGTGCGCTCGCTGAGTGACAAACTGAGCTCGCTATGCAATGAGTTGTCTAAAGTGAAGGCTCAGCTGAAAAATACGGAAGAAATGGAAGTAAAGTACAAGACAGCTGATTTATCTGAAGTCGCTAGCGAAAGCTCACGTGAATTACTTGATGGAGAACGTACGAAGGTCAACCTGGTTTGGTTTGGGATTTCCGAAAGTACCGCATCTGATGCGAAGGACCGAGTGATGGATGACACGGCATTTGTTGTAGAATGTTGCAGCAAGGTACTCAACACACCGATTGATGTTACATCGTGCAAGAGGCTACGCTCGAAAGATGCTGCTGTCAACACCTGCAGACCTCTGTTGGTGACAGTAAAAGATTCTGCTCAGGTCAGGAGCGTGCTGAAAACAGCGAGAAAGCGTGGAGAATCAGTTGATTACAAGTCGGTTTGTAAAGACAGATTCCACCCCTTTAGAGAGAGCGGTTTTTAGAGAACACCGGCTGCTCACGGACAGTCAGAGGAGATGGAAGACAAGTAATTAGTAGGAATGATGTCCATAGATCAAGGCCTGTAAATAATGTAGAAAGTAACCGCATACATCAAAATGAAAGTGCACAAAAAGTTTAAAAATGTTTTTACACAAACTCAGATTCCGTTTTGAACAAAAAAAAACTGAACTGCTAACTATGATCGCAAACGAGTGCATAGACATTATTTGTATTACAGAAACACTCCCTAAAAATCACAGGGGGAAAATGGGACCTGTTGAATTTCAGCTGCCAGGTTTTAATTGTTTTCATAACTTAAATGAAGAGCAGTGCAGTAGAAGTGGGTTAGAACCTCTTGTGGGGCCCAGCAAGTGAAGTTTCTGCAGAGCATCAATCAGCTAGAGAATCAGTGTGGTACGAACTTACTCTAAAAGGCAGATATCCTCCTCATAGGGGTTATTTATAGATCACCTAACAGCTCCTCTGATAACAATAAAGTACTAAACAGCCTTTTACCGAGCATGTCATACAGTAGGTCGTATACGTTGATCGTAGGTGACTTTAACCATACAGAAATCTTCTCCAAGAGATGGAAATCACCCAGCATCCTTGTTCCTGAAGTCTGCGCGAGAATCATTTTCAATCCAGAACATCACCAAGCCAACCCATTTTAGGGGTAAACAGGCCCCAAATATTCTAGTCTTGTGTTTACTAGTGCAGAATCAATGATAGATGAGCTTCGCCACGAGGCTTTGTTGAACAAAAGCCACCACCAATCATTGTTTTTCAGTATTAAGTGTTGTGCAGAAAAGACGCTTCGGAAGCGTGAACGCTTCAACTTTGCGAAAGGCGACTACGATAAACTACGCGGTGAATGCGGCGAATATTTCGGACTGTATTATGGACTCGAATGTGGCTGATTCATGGTCGTTTCTCGGAGACACGGTCATGTCTGCAGTTGATGCCTGTGTACCTAAGATTACGCTTGGAGGAGTCAAAAAGTCCCAGTGGATGAATAGTGCAGTTAAGGCTCAGCTAAAGACCAAGTAAGAAGCATACAAGCGTTATTTACGAACTCGCAGCTTCTGATTATAACCTGTATGCAAGAGCTCGAAATCAAGCTAAAAAAGTTTGTCGCACTGCAGTGGAAAACTTCGAAAAAAATATTGCTAAAAATGTAAAAAAGAATCCGAAAGCCTTCTTTTTGTACGCTGGTTCGAAGTGTAAATCAAAGGACGGTATATCTGATTTGAAAGTAGACCAACGAAAGATTTCCTCTGATGAGGGCAAGGCATACGTTCTCAATCAGTTCTTCAGCA